AGTTGAGTGATCCAGAAATGACATCTTGGGAAAGGTTGCGCCAATGGCGCCACCTTACTTATGCGGTCGCATTCTGTTTAATAGCCACTAGTGTCCTCGCTGACAAATCCTATTACCACACTAAGCGTTTCCACGAAAGGAACAAATTTCCAAAGCATCAAAAGAACATCCCGCATCCTCACCATCACGGTTCACCTCATTACTCTCACAAATCACCACCACCGTTAGTTTACCACTATAAACCTCCCCCTCCACCGGCTAAATCACCACCTCCTCCGGTTTACTACTACAAATCTCCACCACCGGTAAAATCTCCACCTAGGTACTACTATAAATCACCTCCTCCACCCGCCAAGTCACCACCGCCACCAGTTTACTACTACAAATCTCCTCCACCACCGGTAAAATCTCCACCTAGGTACTACTATAAATCTCCACCTCCACCGACCAAGTCACCACCGCCACCAGTTTACTACTACAAATCTCCTCCACCACCGGCGAAATCCCTACCGCCTCCGTACTACAATAAATCTCCACCTCTGCCAGCCAAGTCACCACCACTGCCTGCTTACTATTATAAATCTCCTCCGCCGCCAGGAAACTCCCTCTCTCCTCCATACTACTATAAATCTCCACCTCCACCGGCCAAGTCACCACCACCGCCGACTTACTACTACAAATCTCCTCCGCCACCAGTAAAGGCTTCCCTTCCTTCTTACTACTATAAATCCCCACCTCCACCTGTCAAGTCACCACCGCCGCCAGCTTACTATTACAAATCTCCTCCTCCACCGATAAAGTCTCCACCACCACCTTATTACTATAAATCTCCACCCCCACCGATGATGTCACCATTGCCACCAGCTTATTATTACAAATCTCCACCACCACCAGCTAAATTGCCACTGCAACCTTACTACCACAAATCTCCTCCACCTCCACCAAACTCATCACCACCTCATTCCTATTACTACAACTCCCCACCTCCTCCCCATTCTCTTCCACTAGTTTACTACTACAAATCACCCCCACCACCTTTCAACCACTATTAGGCTTTGTGATAAGCCTTAATTCGAAAATATTATAAATTTGTTTCAAATTCAATTTGATGTATTCCTATTTATTTATTTTAATTTTTAACTTCACGTCTGTCAATAAAGAGGGCCCGAAGATCGCTGGTGTATGTACTTATGAAGCAATATTCCTCCGCTAGCCTCCATTTTTAGCAATTATGGAAACGGTGTACCCAAGATTAAGAATTGCAAATATGAATTGCTAATGAGTATGGTCATTTGAATTTATCTATCAAGATGTGCTTTTTTCATTTTTATCTCAAAGGTGTATGGATAACTTTGGATTTAATACAACTGGAAGTTTATTATGACAACATATAATTTCACATGAATATTGGAATGTAGGAAGTATATATTGTAATGTTTATAATTAGCTGGTTGATTACTAATGAGACAAAAAATATCCACACTACATATGAATATTCTTTTTATTTCAACGATATTTGTCACTATATTTTCAAATACACTACAAAAAAAATGATGAAATTTTAACGGAAATATATTAAAATAGAATTCCAACGGCAATTCGAACGGATATTTTTCAATGTTATTATTTCTGTTGGAATTTATTGAAAAATTCCAACGGAAATTCGAATAAAAATATTTCGTTGAAATGAGTTTTCCATTGGAATTTCCGTTGGATTTTGACGATTCTAACGGTAGATTTTCCAACAGGGGTAAAATATATATTCCAACGGTAAAAAGCCATTGGAAATATAGTCGTTGAAATCATCAAATTCCATCTAAAATTCCAATGAAAAACACATTCCAACGGAATATTTCACCCCTTCCTCCGTACTACTACAAATCCCCACCTCCACCGGCCAAGTCACCACCCCCGTCGACATACTACTACAAATCTCCTCCACCACCACTAAAGTCTTCCCCTCCTCCATACTACTATATATCTCCATCTCCACCGACCAAGTCACCGCCGCCGCCAGTTTACTACTACGAATCTCCTCCACCACCAGCAAAATCTTCACCACTTCCATACTACTATAAATCTCCACCTCTGCCGGCCAAGTCACCACCACCACCTGCTTACTATTACAAATCTCCTCCGCCACCAGTAAAGTCACCCCCTTCTACGTACTACTACAAATCTCCACCTCCACCAGCCAAGTCACCACCACCGCCGACTTACTACTACAAATCTCCTCCGCCACCAGTAAAGGCTTCCCTTCCTTCTTACTACTATAAATCCCCACCTCCACCTGTCAAGTCACCACCGCCGCCAGCTTACTATTACAAATCTCCTCCTCCACCGATAAAGTCTCCACCACCACCTTATTACTATAAATCTCCACCCCCACCGATGATGTCACCATTGCCACCAGCTTATTATTACAAATCTCCACCACCACCAGCTAAATTGCCACTGCAACCTTACTACCACAAATCTCCTCCACCTCCACCAAACTCATCACCACCTCATTCCTATTACTACAACTCCCCACCTCCTCCCCATTCTCTTCCACTAGTTTACTACTACAAATCACCCCCACCACCTTTCAACCACTATTAGGCTTTGTGATAAGCCTTAATTCGAAAATATTATAAATTTGTTTCAAATTCAATTTGATGTATTCCTATTTATTTATTTTAATTTTTAACTTCACGTCTGTCAATAAAGAGGGCCCGAAGATCGCTGGTGTATGTACTTATGAAGCAATATTCCTCCGCTAGCCTCCATTTTTAGCAATTATGGAAACGGTGTACCCAAGATTAAGAATTGCAAATATGAATTGCTAATGAGTATGGTCATTTGAATTTATCTATCAAGATGTGCTTTTTTCATTTTTATCTCAAAGGTGTATGGATAACTTTGGATTTAATACAACTGGAAGTTTATTATGACAACATATAATTTCACATGAATATTGGAATGTAGGAAGTATATATTGTAATGTTTATAATTAGCTGGTTGATTACTAATGAGACAAAAAATATCCACACTACATATGAATATTCTTTTTATTTCAACGATATTTGTCACTATATTTTCAAATACACTACAAAAAAAATGATGAAATTTTAACGGAAATATATTAAAATAGAATTCCAACGGCAATTCGAACGGATATTTTTCAATGTTATTATTTCTGTTGGAATTTATTGAAAAATTCCAACGGAAATTCGAATAAAAATATTTCGTTGAAATGAGTTTTCCATTGGAATTTCCGTTGGATTTTGACGATTCTAACGGTAGATTTTCCAACAGGGGTAAAATATATATTCCAACGGTAAAAAGCCATTGGAAATATAGTCGTTGAAATCATCAAATTCCATCTAAAATTCCAATGAAAAACACATTCCAACGGAATATTTTCGTTGGAATCATTCCAACGGAAGTAATACTATTGGAATACCCGTTGGAATATATTACCATAAGATTTTCTGTTGGAATATAACAATATTTTAGTAGTGATATCATCACTGATAAGAAAGTTCATTATCTTATACAAATAAAGGTAACATCCAAACATGTCAAACCAAGAACACTCTTCAATGCATTGAAAACAAGGTTTACACAGAAATGGATAAAGACATATCTAAACACTAAACCTAGCATACTATTTGTTTCCAAATATATATAACACTACCAAATGATCCTACCGTCAATATTAAATCTGATAGCAAAAGCATAATGAGGTATTAGCACATGTGAGCTTCTCATTGGTCATTCCATCTTGTCTTCTTTCCAGCATGTATACACGTATGCATGTTTCTTCTTTTGACTAATGTCATAGTTGTTTGAGGTGGTGTTAAAAGTCATGGTGAAGACAAATATGAAATGAACCAGGAAATTATGAACTCCATCTTTCTCATTGATTCAAAAGTGACGGCTCAATACAATGAAAAAATCTAACTCCTTAAACCCTAGCAGACTAATATTTATACTAAGGAAAAATGAACTATCTAGAATGAGGACACTTGTTGCAATCTAAAGGAAGAAGACAAGATAAAAAGAGGATCACTAAAGGTGCCAAATGTAGCTAAGCCATTGCTGTCAATTGGGGCCTTGATAGCTGAGTCATGCAACGTGACAAAATGCTGAGAGCATGCACAGCTCGTGGAGTGATGATGCAGTGAAGCTGCATTTACTTCATGCAGTAACTCTTGTCTTTTACCATGCTTTTTTAATAATTCTAACACTCCCCCGCAATTCGAACTTGGTTGAGTGATCACTTGCAGCTTATCTCTCAACTTAGTGAAGGATTGTTCACTCAATGGTTTTGTAAAAATATCTGCAATCTGAAACTGACTTGGCACATGTTTAACCTCAATGTCTTTTGCTGCAACCTTCTCTCTAACAAAGTGATAGTCCAACTCTACATGTTTTGTTCTACCATGCATAACAGGGTTGGCTGCCATAGCCATGGCACTGAGGTTATCTATCCAGATAATCGGAGTTTTCTGAGGTGTGATAGCAAGCTCTTTGAATAAACTGGAAATCCACACAACTTCAGAAGTGACATGTGCTAGGCTTTTATATTCTGCTTCAGCACTGGATCTTGAAACAGAAGCCTGCTTTCTAGAACTCCAAGAAACCAAATTTCCTCTAACATAAACACAGAAGCCACTAGTGGATCTTCTGTCATCCAAATCAGCAGCCCAATCAGAATCATAGAAACCAACCAAGTCCAGATTATTAGACTTTGTGATTTTAAGACCAAAGGATGTAGTTGTTGCAACATACTTCAAAATTCTCTTAATTGCCTTCTAGTGATGATCATTAGGATTTGACATGTATTGACTCACTTTGTTAACAACAAAAACAATTTCTGGATGAGTAATTGTCAAATACTGTAGACCACCAACTATGCTTCTGTACATTGTGGCATCCTTTGAGTTTTTAGATTGATTCCTTTTCAGAATGAGACTTGTTGACATTAGAGTACTGCAGCCTTTAGCATTGAACATTGAGGCTTTAGATAATAGGTCCTGTGCATACCTTTCTTGAGACAAAAACATCCTTTTGTCTGATCTATAAATCTTCATTCCCAGAAAGTGATGGATTTGGCCAAGATCCTTCACGCAACAAACCAAGTAATTACGGTACCGCCCCTAGTGTGAACACTCGCAGTATATAAACAACCTCGTCCTGCTTATAACCAAGTAATTACGGTACCGCCCCTAGTGTGAACACTCGCAGTATATAAACAACCTCGTCCTGCTTGAATTGGTTGCGTTCACACTTGAAGAGTTGGTTAATTACGGTACCGCCCCTAGTGTGAACACTCGCAGTATAACTTCAACCTCGCAGATTCAAGCAGGACGAGGTTGTTTATATACTGCGAGTGTTCACACTAGGGGCGGTACCGTAATTAACCAACTCTTTAAGTGTGAACGCAACAAACCAAGTAATTACGGTACCGCCCCTAGTGTGAACGCTCGCAGTATATAAAGGACGAGAAGCTTGTACTAAGTTGAGATATGACCTCTTCAATCTCAGAGTGATTGCTACATGTTACCAGAATGTCATCAACATAGATTAAGAGTATAAGAATAGAGTTTTTTGACTTTCTGAAAAAACAAAGAGTGATCAGCTTGTGAGATATTGAGCCTAACTTTGTGGAGAGTGTCTTTCAGTTTAAGAAACCAGGCTCTGGAGGCTTGCTTTAAGCCATAAATTGCTTTGTTTAGCCTGCAAACCCCATTTGGATGAGCTTTGTGATAGAAATCTGGTGGTTGTCTCATGAATATTTCTTCAGACAGATCTCCATTCAAAAATGCATTATTAATATCCAATTGTATAACTGGCCAAGAGAAATGGACTGCTACTGTAAGGAAGCTAGCTGCTTGTGAGTATCCTTGGGCTACAAGTCTTGCCTTGTACCTGGAGATGGTTCCATCAGCATTCCTTTTAGCTTGAATATCCACCTACATCCCACTATGTTTTTATTAACAGGAGGATTTGTAAGAGTCCAGGTGTTTTTGTCAACAAGGGCACTCAACTCATATGTCATGGCCTTTTTTCAATGAGATGACTGCAAAACTTCATAAAAAAATATTGGTTCTCTTTTCTCAATGGATACCATAAGGACTCTTGGTTTGTAAATGCCTGCTTTTCCTTTAGTGATCATATGACGCTGATTAGAGACTCTTGAAGAGGGTTGAGACATGGTCTGGAGAATTGTTCAACTCAATAGATAGTTCTACAGCCAAGGGTATAGTGCTATGGAGAGATTGGCTATTCATAAACCTAGAGTATAGTGCTATGGGTAGATTGGCTATTCATAGACCTGGGAGTGTGTAAGGCTGTATTAGGAGAATGGCTAGGTATAGAGTTTTGAGTTGCTTAAGTTTATGTGTATCAGACTGATTTATGGTGTGTAATTGAGATTGGTTTGGAATTATATGAGGTAAGTTAACACAATGAGGTTGAAAGTCATTAAAGTTATATGGTTTTTCACTTGTTTCCTTGGCATAAAGATATTCATTCTCATTAAAAGAACATGCCTAGAGATGATGATCTTTCCTAAGGGCAAGAGGATTTTATATCCTTTGTGAGAATTACTGAAACCTATAAAGGTTCCACCAATGGACCTTGGCTCCAGTTTGTGTTTATTAAATGGACTTAACAAAGGGTATGCTAAACACCCAAAGGTTTTGAATCTACTCTATCCAGGTTGGTGATTGTACAAGACCTCCAGGGGACTCTTAAATTTCTAGGATTTGGTAGGGAGTCTATTTATGATGTAGCACGAAGTGGAAAAAGCATCATCCCAAAATTTTAAAGGTAAAGAAGACTGAGAAAGAAGAGATAACCCCATTTCATTGAGGTGTCTATGTTTTCTTTCAGCTGCTCCATTTTGTTGAGGTGTATGAGGACAAGAGATTTTATGTGTGATGCCATTGTTTTGAAGAAAAGATGTAATGGATCTGAATTCACCTCCCCAACCACTCTGAAGAGTTTTGATTTTATGTCCAAACTATGTTTCAGTCATGGTTTTAAAATAGAGGAAAACATCATGGACTTCTGATTTCAATTTCAAAAAATATATCCAAGTGAATTTTGTGTATTGGTCAACAAAAATGACATAGTAGGAATGTCCATTTCTAGACTTAATGGGAGAAGGACCCCATAAGTCTGAGTGGATTAACTCAAGAGGAGCATTGTATTGTGTTTCTGAATCAGTGAAAGGCAATTTATGAATCTTAGAAGCAGCACACACAGAACATAAGGCATTATCTTTATTATCATCAAAAGGCTGATTACATGATTTTAGAACTTTCTTGACTACATCAAGATTACAATGGCCTAGCCTTTTTCGCCATAAGTTTAAAACAGACTGATTCTTGAAATTACTAAAATGAACTAAAGATTGAGACAGAAAAGTGTTGCTGTTTTTGGTGGACTGAGAAGTTGTGTTGGATAGTTGAAACTGGTATAATCCTTGATTAATTTCCCCTTGGAGTAGTACTTCCTGAGTTACATGATCCTTCATAAAACAATGGAAAGGGTGAATTTCGAAGTAAACATTATTATCTGAGGCAAATTTTCACACACTCAACAAATGT